GGGGCACTCAATTGCACAAGAACATAGGAAAATTAAGAGGCAAAAGATGTTTCTTAGTCTGGAGCGTTACACGAAAACAATTAAAATTTGGTAACTTTTCATTATAGCACTATTAAACATCAACGCAAACGAACTACACTTATTCAGTCGGATTATTCATGCTTTTACGTGTTCCGTTTTTTTTATTATTATTATTTTTAACAGACACAGAGTCAAATAGGGTAAAAATTCCATCAAAACGGCTCCGACATCTGTATATGTTTACAAAAGTAGAAATAGTTTTTTATTCTTCAGTTGTAGAAATCTAGAAGTCAGGGAAAATTCATAGAAACTGCAATGTTTACAAATACCGGAAGTCACGCATTCTACTGACCCGTGATTGGCTTATTTACCGTTTAGTCGCAGGGACCAAATTTTGGTCCCAAATTTTGGTCCCTGCGACCACAGAAATGTGTAGTTCACACGAAGGGACTAGTCGCATGAAACTGGTCGCTGTGACTAGTCGCAGGGACTAGTCCCCTCGTGTGTGCCGACCTTTACTGACAGTGCCCCTTAAAACACTTTAAACTAAGCAAAAACTGTTGAAAAGCTGAAATCGCGGACAGCTACCCGAATTGCCGTAAGTCTTGAGAGCACGTTCACTCAGCAATTATTTCCTTTTCTTATCAGTAAGCAGGATTTTAAGTAAGTACCTAAATGAATATTCCGTTAGTTTGACACTACAATTTTCTTGAAGCAAAAGCGTGGGAACTTTTTCTTCTCAGCGTGAAGTTTGTGGAATTCTAGTCGGGAATTTCTGAGGTTCCTCCACTTCAACCGCGCAGCGAAAAATAAAAGCTTAAAACGGAGCAACCAGCCTGTTAAACTGAATTTTAAATATAGAATTTGATCACGTCAGAAAAAAAAATCTTTGCCGTTGTTTTTGGCGTTCAAAGTGTCTTTCGCAGAATTTTCTACTTGCGTTACTTAGAATTCCCGAACATGCTGGTTCAGTAATCTTGGACTGTATACTTTCACTTGATTCAGGCTTTCTTGTCACCAATTCAACATTACACGTTCCGTTCTAAGATGTTTATATTCTACTCCATTACAGCTTAAGGTCACAAAAATCGCTACATTTATCAGCTAAAGAAATCCGTACCTAGATACGTAATCCCGTGTGGGAATCAAGGCTTGGTCACGTTTTACAACGATTCATGGGTACCAAATTTCCTACCAAACGTGGGTTTACTACTATGTTTTACTACTATGTTCCTACGCTGCTACGTTCCTACTGTTTTGATATTATACATGCCGCAGCGCTTCCTTTTATATTCTCCGTTAACGGTAACTAAATAACAATTAACTTGTTAAACAATTAAGAATATAATGATAAATTTCGAGCGTGTAAACGCTTCACGAAAGTGTCGTCTTCGTTTCCTTAAAACGAAGGCTTTACAAAATCAAAATCTGGGAATTTGCCCCCTGTGGCTTTTCTGCCATCACCATCAATTTAACGCATACGTATTCAATCCTCACACAGGTAGATTGATGGTTTTCTTTTCTTATAGTTTTTTACGTCTAAAAATGTTTAATCAAATATAACATGATCGTCTGACCAGAACGACGGTCCATCGTCGCTACATCGACGACTGTATTGCGCTACCTCCGGCCTCTTCCAGAGAGGAGCTTACTCAATAAATAACCGCAGCCAATTCTTTCCACCGGCTCTAAAATATACCTGAGTAATTTACGACAATTCTGTATCCTTTTTAGATATCAAAGTTTAAATTGAAGGCAACAGTATATGGATTAGTGGGTATTACAAACCTACAGACTCACATAGTTACTTGTTGTATTCATCTCCGCATCCATCTCATGTTAAGAATTCCATTCCTTTTTCTCAGTTTCTAAGACTTCGTCGTTTTATGTAGTGATGACTCTGATTTTTCCCACAAACCAGAGTCAATGTGCCAGTTTTTCGAAAAACGTGGTTACCCTGTTTCTGTCATTCAAGCGGTCACCACCGCGACCAACGAAAATTCCGACAGCATTCCATTCACTCTCGCGTTTCGCCCTCACAACCACTCAGTTAAATCCATTATTCTTAAAAACTTTAAATAACTTAAAACGATCCAGAGACTGGCACTATCTTTTCGCAACCTCCACTTATTTCATTCAAACGCGACAAAAACATGGAAAATTTTTTGGTCAGAAGTACATTCCAAACTAATGACCAACCCGGCACTTTTAAATGCGCTCGCGCACGATGCAAAAGTTGTCCTTTCATTCACAACGCTGAGAAAATATCGGGACCCAAGCGATCCATTAAGATCACCGATCACTTCACGTGCAGCTCCGCCAACATAATCTTTACGCTTTTCATTCCACTAATTTATTCGTGTTTTTCTCGCCGCCATGTTACCACCAATAGCGTAGCTCCGCTTTCTGCATTTAAACCCACACACAACCCACAATTCCTCCATTCGCTCTGACGAATTAAGGGCTAACGCTCGAAAGGTCAGCTTTTTCACACGTTACGGTGGCCAATTTACAACTTCAACTTAGTTGATAGAACCAAATTACCTTTTACCTCCACAGACGCAGCACCACAGTTTCTTGAGAAACTTTCAGACTTTGTTCATTGGCCTCCCGGTTAGCTCAGTGGATAAAACGCTGGACTGTTGTGCGGGAGGTCGAGGGTTCGAGCCCCAGTTGGACCAACACTCAGGGTCTTAAAATAATTGAGAAGAATATGCCACCTTTCTATAACATCAAGAAATGGTTAGATATTCTAGTCTTCTCGGATAGGGAAGAATAAATGGAGGTCCTTTCCCCTGCAGGGTTAGGGGCAGGAGACATTAATTTCCCACGCACGAGATTACTGCATAATGGGTGTTATGTTCGAAACACGAATTCTCAAATACTACACAGACTGGTGAAAACACAAGCCTTTAATAAATCCTCCCGGGTTTTCTCTACCGCTTGCCGATCAGCGGCCTCACAGGACTTCATGTTACTACATTGGATGTCCTCCTCTGGGGCGGGATGGGTGGGTATGGGATGGGTGGGTAACAGGACCCCCGTTGATACCAGTGTTTACTAAACTGAAGGGGCTATCCTGTATAAATATAGATGTCTACTCTACTGGTCCATATTTATAACCGAGCCTGGAGATTAGTAAAGAATGTCGGGGGATCATGCATACTTCAGCCTAGAGAGGTCCTTCTTTCTCTGCTCATCACATTTTTGCACTGGATAAGAGCACAGGCTGATTATGCCTCCTGCTAGGCCACTCACAATCACTGTCTACGTATTGATGAATCAGCTTAAGAATTGTTAGCCGATCATTTAGCAGACCCCCCATAATGACAAACAGTTGGATGATAGAGTTTCTTTATCCTCCACATGCCGCATAGATGCCGCAGGGAAATCGCACGGATCTAATCAACAAAATTTAAAAAACCCTTTTATTGCAACTTTGTTCCCATAGAGTTTATAGGAATGGGAGTTGCACTCTCTTGTTACTGGTCGAGTAAAACTTGAAAAAGTAAATACTTTTTTTTCTTGTCCCTAGAGTTTGCTCTATGATTGAGCCAATTGTGCTCTACGTAGATCTGAACATTTGTTGTTATAATTATTTGCAATACGGTAGGAGGGAATTTTATTCCCCTTTGTACTACATACTATTAGATTTCGTGGAAATGTTTCCATGCACTTCAAGCATTTTCTCTTCACCCTAACACGTGACTTGCTATGATTCCTAGTCGTACCCAGTTTTGTAGGCTGCCGGAGATCGATTCAAGAGAGCGGCTAGGTTATCAAATGATAACCATTTGAGATCACTCACTGTAACAATCGCAATCTTTTTTTAATGTGAGTAGTAGATCAGTGCTTTTATTGACCTTTTCAAAAACGTTTATTATTTGTTACTTATGTTCACAGCTACTCAGGGTTCTAGACACATACAAAAGAGCACAGATTGGGGGCAAAACAGTGGATCGGTCCTTCATATTACATTGAGGTGAGTAAGTATGGTATGAAACAAGTATGATCCGGCTTCTAAATTCTTCTGGCTTAGCAGGATACTGTTCACTCAGTATATCATTCGTTATCAATATTCCCGTTGTGCGGAAGTACATCAGATAATGGGAACTCAGTCTCACAGCTTGCAATGCCGCGAATTCATCTATGGTACTACATCCATAGTCTTACTATCTTCCACTCCGTTCGGATAAGGTCTGATTTTCCATGTGTTATCTGTAGTTGACTACTTTAGCTTACTGTTGTCATGTTCTACTTTCGCTTTCTTAATTCATGAGGTACTTGGAAAGCTTTACTTCCTGTTGCGTCAGTCTTTCTCGGAAATGACAGTGAACAATAGGGTTCAGTTTGACATTTGTCACGGTCGTTTGCCAACTGACGTTTGACAGCAAATGATACGTATATGCATAAATACTATATAAGATCAAATACCGTTGTTGGTTGTAAGTCAATGACGTTCCAGTCAAAATATCGCGAGCCTGTAGCAATACTTATCTTGTGACTTCGTGTAGCCTGTTCGACGCTTTCAGTTCATTAACGGTTAGGATAGTAGTGAGGGCCAAAAAGGGAGACAGGATTTGGTAGGGTGCATCCCATACAACCCCTCCTCTTTTATCACTCTGTGGCACTTAAGTGACTGGTTTGCCTCAGAAAGCCTGGAATAGACCACACCTGAACGATTTGTTTGGAAACGCGGGACTAAAAAAGAGTGTAAAGACAACAATCTGTTTCGAAAAAGGAAAAGTAAACCGGCCTAAATTTCGTCCCTTATTTTAGGAATGCTGTAATAGCAACAGTGTTGCTTGGCAAAAACGGTCATCGAAATATAAGATTTCAGTTTTCTTTTTTAAAGTGTGTAGGCCTCCTTCGTACGGGAGCTGAAATAGGGTAAAATATGGACCGGACTATTTTTTGGACTATTTTTTGGACCGTATTTTGGACCACTTTATCGGGGGAGGGGGGGGGGGGGAAGGCAGACCATTAGTAGTCTCTGCAGTCTATCAGCGCTATCAGCAGTGTTAAGTCATGCGTGTGCCTGTTAAGTCGTCTTGTGCCAGTGCTAAATGATACTCACAGGTTAGCATGAATCATCTTCCAGTTGCCTCACGTTTCCCTTGTATGTGACAGAAAAAGCGAAGAAAAAGTGCGATGTCTTTATGAATGGTTTCCCAACATGGGGTGTAACCTAGTTGTTAACGAAACTCTCCTGACATATCCAAGCTTCAGACATTAAAATTTCCCAGGCAGAATCGGACTTTTACGTTTTGCCGACGGAAAATATTGGCAGGCAACAGTACACACCATAGTTCCACTTCGCAGGTTTCGTAGGCTTTTATACAAGGATGTGATTGGTAGCGGCCCGGGCAAATTGGAAAACAAACCTGGCCGCGATTTCCGGTATTGTTGATGAACTCCTTTGTTTGCGAAACAGATATAATCGATATTTGCGCTTCCCATATTAAAAGTACAGTAGTGTTTTTGCTCGATTTGAGAAAATGGATTCCTCTTCGAAATCGTTCGCTGATGCGGTAAGAGGGCAGAAGACAAACAGTTGGTGGAGGAAGTAACCAGGCAGAGGACGAGGAGGAGGCGATGTTGACTGCCATCGAAAAATCACGGGAAATTGTAAAGGTAGCTGTTGTCTCATTACTGCTTGGTCTGTTGTTTTAGGGAAAATCCAGAGAAGGGCAATCTGTTCCGCTAAGAATAGCTTTTTCAGTCTGTTAAAACAAAATGACTAGTAGTTTTAACTGTGACCTCTGTTTGTGTAGTGGATGGTTCAAGCGATAAAGAACCAACTTCGGGATTCTGCCGCAAGCATAAAAAGGAGGACAGGGTAAGTGTTTTCTGGCTACGTTTTAAAATACTCTGCAAGTTGGCGCGAATCTTTCTGTGAAATAGCACAAACCATATAGGGAAATGTTGTGAACAATTTGCGGTTTTATTCGTTGTGATGCAGAAGTAACCGCCGAGTCTCTTGTTCTTGGGGATTGTTTTTGTAATAAAAAGTTCTTCAAAATCTTACCTGATAGAACTTAAATTATCTAAGTGGATCGTTCACGCGAAAAACTAAGGCTTGCGTAGATGACCAGATCTCGAGCTTCGATCACGGTCGCGAAAATAGGAGCACTTGAGAAGGATTCATTTTCACGGGCGACAAAAATCAAACTTGACTTACCCTTGCGCTCTTCCAGCGCGCGCTGGCAATTTTGCGAAACAAAGAAACTGCCAAAATTTTTACATACAAATAGTCAGTCCAAAACCGCTCAAAATAATTTGTTCGAGCCTGTGAACACTCCATAAATTAGTAGTAGTTACTAATACATCAACCTCCCACCCTTCTGTGTACTAATAGTTCGTCCTCCACCCCTCCCTTAGTAACAACTGTCTGCCTACCATCCCTCCCTGATAATAATGATAATAATAATAATAATATTAATAATAATAATAATAATAATAATAATAATAAGTCAGATTATGTGGCAAGGCTCCAGAGAGTGTGGCACATATCTTGTCAGGATGCAGTGCGCTGGCCCAGAGCAAGTATCTCTCTAGACACGACGCAGCACTGAAGGTACTGTTTTACGAACTGTTGTATGATGAGGGATTTATAGACGAGATACCACCCTGGTACTCACCCGACAAGCCGAAGCCCGTGTACGAGTCAGAGAATGTTAAAGCTTATTGGGATGTCCCTATATATGCTGATCAACAAGAGGTCAGATGCAATAGGGTGGATGCACGCATTGTAAATCATATGTGCAAGAGAGTTGTGACGCTGGAAATGAGCTGCCCGTGGGTTAACAATCGGACAAGAAAGGATGAAGAGAAGACACTGAAGTACGGACCCCTTCGCTGGGAACTAAGGCAGCAGTTCCCAGGCTACGAGGTGAAGCAATATAACATCATTATGGATGCCCTCGGGGGGTGGTCACGGGAGCTGGATGTCATGATGCGCGAGCTGGTGGGAGGCAGAAGCACAGACGTACTGCGAAAGATGCAGAGGGCAGTGCTCTCGGGCACGCTGAATATTGCCCGGACTTTCAAGGTGGTGCTGCCTGATTAGAATGTAGCATTCAGTTGATTTCTCTGCGATATAATAATAATAATAATAAACAGTTTAGCGTGGAGAAACACGTAGCTAGAAGCTAGTTTACAGGTTTTCCACGAAACAACTTAAACAAATAATTCAAATTGAAAATAACGTTGTTAAGAATCCCAACTGGCCGAAGGTAAACCAGTTGGCTATATTACAAGCATGGCCGAGGATTTGAAACTCGGGGCTACAGTGAAACAAATCCAAGTAGTGGCCAGGGCGGGACTCGAACCCGGTAGCGACGGATTGCAAGTCCGACACGCTGACCACTCCACTCGACCATGCTGCCTCCCTGAGTGCTGATGGACTGCATAGACTCCGACGAAGGGCTAACGCTCGAAACGTCAGCTTTTGTAATCATTACAGTGGCCAATTTACCATTTCAACTTTGTTGATATATCCAAATTATTTCGTTACTCCCACCGACGCAGCCCCAAACAGTTTCTTTCGAAACTATCAGCCTTTATTCATTTGCATAGACTACTAATGGTTTGCCTCCCCCCTCCCCCCGATAAAATGGTCCAAAAAAAAAAAAAAATGGTCCAAAAAATGTTCCGAAAAAATATGGTCCAAAAAATAGTCCAGTCCATATTTTCCCTATACCTCCGGGAGCGTGATGCGCGACCAGTTCTGTCACCTTTCTCGTGACACGAGTGTTTAAAATGGATGGGACACTTTGGAGAGCTATCATTGCATAACATTTGGTGTGCTCCATGAATTACTTGAAGGCACGTGGAATAATTTAACTAAATTTGTAGAGGGTTGCCTATGAAACTCCGAGCTCCATTTGATCACAGGGTAGGCATTGTAATTGTAGCTGATATACACAGGGTCCTCTATCATTTCCATTCACCTCAACTGATGGCTTAATCATATGCATAGCTTTGAAATAAGAAAACGGACTGTTATGCAAACTTGTGAGCCTAAAGGTCCTAAAGCATTAACAGTTTGTAGCACACGATCTCTTCGTTATGATTATTCGGTTATTATGAAAGGGTTACAACACGTGGCCCGAGAAAGAAGAAATCAGTGAAAAAAGCTGGCAAACACCAAAGATATACTTTATTCCATCAAGTTGATAGAAGGCCTTTTTAGTAGGTTGTTGACAGTTAAAGGTAATAATCATTAACCATGTACTGTTATGACCATTTATTTTCTTGTATCCTTCGATAAGTTGAGTCATAAATTACTCGATTGTAATGTACATTTAAAAAGTCAGACGTTGCAGGAGGCAGTATCGTTTTTTCCGGCGTTAGGTCATCTTTCACTTCTTAAACAGACTACTTGAAGTGATCTTATGTCACACGCAACAAAACAGCAACACTGGACATACTAAACAAGTTGCGACAAAAATAGACGAATAGTCTGTAGCAGGACAATAAACTTATTTGAAAACGTAATTAATTTAAAAATTAATAAAATATACATTAATTTAAGCTAGAAGGTATTAAAGGAGATTGGGCCCCGCACCATGGCCCAAATTGGCTTTTTCATTGCCCCAGTTGTAAATTTATCTCAGATTTAAACTGTAAAAGTCTTTCTGACTTTTGGAAGGAAGGAAGGAAAAGAAAACAAAAGGTTCGAGTTCTTCGCTAGAAGAAGAAATGTCCGTCAGTAATTTGCAACCTTTGAAGGAATTTACCCATCTGTTATACAGCCTCTGAGAGTAATTCTATTTATATCAGACTAACTATAAGGAGTTAGTACAGAAGGCGACAAACTTATCAAACCATCAGAGATTTCTTTAATCTTTATTGTACTTGATTAGAAGATTCTGAAGAGTGGATCTCTGGCTTGGAAGAACTAATACGATGAAGCTTACTTCAATGTTTGCAATACTGACGCTGATCGCAACCGAAATCAAAACCTAAAAAATCTAGTCCTAAAACGAGCTATTCATGAACTGTCAAATAAAGGAAAACGAACTATTCATGAGCTGTCATATATAGGAAACCGCAATCGCTTAACTTTTTAAAACCACGGAGGAACAGAGAAAAATATTCACGCAAATTTCGCTAGTCACGCATTGTTCAAAGTCACGCAACGAAACTAGAACTGTTCATAACAAGAGTTAAAAATAATTTCGAGGAAAAATAAGAATTAACTTTTGAATCTTGAGAGGAGAAATTTCAAAAGGGACTTATTAGTCAGTTAAAGGTCGGAGAGTACGACTTTATCAATATTGACGAGGAAATATTACATCAGTGCCAAATTTTTTTAAGAAAATTTCTACAAATCCCGTGTAAGTGAACAGGATTTGGACAATTCGAGATGTAATTTTGCTGAAGACATGAACCTTAACACCTTAAACGAAGATAAAAAGAAAACTAAGAAGTATTATTAAGTAAAGAGCAACTTCTACAAGCGTTAAAAATTATGGAATTAGACTAAACACCAGGTACCGGCGACATCCCCGCAGAATTTTTGGCATGATCTGAATGATATCTGTTAGAATGGATCAATCATTGGAATCGAAAGGGACAGCTTTCAGTTACGCAAAGACGAGGAATAATCAAACTCATCCCAAAGAAAGATCCAGAACTCTTTCCTATTAAAACTGAACTGGCGCCCAAGTACGCTTCTTAAATGTGATTATAAGATTGAAGGTCTTACAGCGAAAGCTCTTGTCACTCGCGTCAAGAAATTGACACTTTGGTCGATACCTTGACAAAAACTTGACAGTTTGTTGCCAACCACTCAAAGTAAGTAGATAGAAAGCATGGAACTACTCTGAACAATACCTTACCGATATTCTCTCACAAATTCGAGAATGCTCGCGGTTTACTATTACCTGGCGTGAATTCTGCCTCGACAGAAACACTTTCTGTTCCAGGTGATCGTTACCTGTAATTTGCCCCGGTGCTAACCTAGCATGATGATAAATCCCGTTTATTACGAATCAACTTAACGGCCTGCTCCCAGTTGGCTTGTTAGCTCAATTGGTAGAGCGCTGCACTAGTATCGCAGAGGTCAGTGGTTCGAATCCCGTACAGGCCCGATTTTTTTCAGGTCTGATTTTCGCTATTGCATAAATAGCGCTCTCTACTGCGAGGATCGTGCATCATACGTATCTATAACCGCAGTTCAAAATACATGAACTTCATATATTCATTGTATCTTTAACAACTCTCATAAAAAGATAGGAGAAATGGCAGGCCTCCGATACCAGGACTGAACAAATGAGAAATAGATAATGGATAAAACTTAGGAAATGAGGGAAATAAATAAGTTGCTGAGTCACTATGTTATGATTTGAATGCCGCTTCAGTGAAACGAATTTTCATTAGATAAATGGCACCTTTTCATTTGCCGTCTTTTGAAAGGTGCTTTGTTTGAGACCACGTGTACACAGATGTTGTTGAACATCAACCATTGGAAGTGTGTATCTAATTTGAAGAAGACAGGAAGTCTTTCTCAATGAATAATCTCCCTTCAAATTGTGTTTGCGGACCAAGGTTTCAAACGCAATTTATGAAAAGGATATATTTCTTTTTGCAGAAAACAAAAAACAGCTTCTCTACTTTACAAGCTTGAATAAGATAGAGTACTACTCCAGCAAGGTGACACCTGGCGCAACAATACAAGTGTGAGGAGTTGGTTAAGACCCTGCGTGACATTTGTGCCATACTAAAGCTTCACATTATATTGATTTAAATACAGCGGTTGAGCGAGCTTGTAAACTTCCAACAAGATCTCCTAAGAGGCAGAAAAGCGAGGTCTAAAGTGTGTTACCTTCTTTCCCAGGGTTTTCTGAACGCTGAAAAGGTAGGTTTGAAAGTAAATGACAGGCAATCCGACTCTGGAATTCGGCGAAGCCGCCGATAATGCATCCTCCGGAAATAGCGTTTTAAAATATGTAAAGGTAAAATGCAAGTAGTGAAACGCAAATCACAGAAGAAACTAACATCACCACTATTTGGGAATCCCCCTCATTTAATGCGTCAGTAGTCATAGTCTTAAAATAGAATTGTAAAAACCAGCTTATGTATTCTAAGTTAGACAGGTCTTAGTGGTTTGCACACGATTTTAAATAGAGAATCCTAATTTTGTTAATTTCCTTTAGGCACAATTGTTTTATTGCTGAGATCGTTTATTTCAACATGCGTTCACGATTTTCGAAAGTTATTCAGGTATAAATGCAATTTGTTTGACAAACTCGTCCAAATCGATTGCATCCTTTTTTCACAAATAAAGGGGAAATTTTATAAAGAAATTGGGATGCTGCCTAAGTGATTTGCGAACCCGATGAAGATGGTGCGTACGTAAGCACCTTTTACAACCCAGATGCGTAGGAAGTCGCACAACCCTCATTTGACCAAGTATAATCGCTTAATGATCTGCAAGTAGATGGGATGTGCAATCGTAACGCATCTTTACACTTCAAAAAGAAAATTTTTGACGAAATCGATGAAAGTAATTAGAATGATAGAGATTTCATACATCTATTGTGAGCACCCAATATAAACATAAGGGAAACGCGTGACTAACTCCTGTAACATAAATTTCAAACGTGACATTCTAATGATAAACAGCCCTTCACTTTGAAAAGGTATGTCTGTAAATTTCTCTGGTGATGACTTCCACTACGGTTGTCGAGCTGTATGTACAGCAGTGGTAAACTTCATTTCAACTCGGATTGAAGAGTCACTGGTATCTTTGAGAGAAGGATAAAATTAAATAATAACATAAAAACTATCACGAAGTAAATGATAAAAAGACATTCTTATCTAATTTACAATGTCAAGACGGTTTGTTATATTGACATCATATCGATAGTAGGTCATTCAATATGCTCCACAATCTGGGTCCATGAAATTGAAATGAATGCTTCCCTTTGGAAGAAGTATGGATCCGTGGTAACCGAAATTTGTTTCGACCTCCGAGTCCATCAAATTCACAGTAAAATGCTAGTTCTTGAGGTATACTAATATGGCCTTTTTAAATATAGCCATAATATAGCCTTTTTATATTTTTTCAATATAGCCTTTTTATGGCTTTTTTTTTCTTTTTAAGTAGTCCCCTCTCTCCCTCCCTCTCTCCTCCTCCCTCTCTCTCTCTCTCT